TTTTCTGCTGAAGACCTGGAGGGACCGTAAGAACCTTTCCAAAAAAGTGCAGGCCCATTATAGGATGTACTGATTCAGCCTCTCACCAACAACCTCCTATCAAGCCTCTGGAGAAGTTTAAATGTAACCTTTCCCTTTATACACACACTGGGAGGCTGAAACAGGAGTGGCAGTGGAAACACCTAGTCCTTCCCTCACGGAGACTATTAGGCCTGGGTGGGGGTAAAGGGCTGGCTGGAGCAGGAAGCATAATTTCCATCTCCCTATCTCTAGCCCACTGGCTGATAAACAATTATGCTAATTTATGTCACCAGCATAAAAAATGGCAACTCAACATAAAATTGAGCAAAACACAGTCTTATGGCAACAGGGCCATATGTTATCCTTAAACAACCCTGTCTGTGGAGGATGAGGAACACCAACTGTGTACATCTCACAATTACCTGGGCAAGAAAAACAGTCTAATAACCATAGCCCCTGACTTCCACATCTCATGGATTACTTGATTCATCAATTTAAGCAATGCCTACAACTTGCAAAAAGCCTCCAGCGTTCAGTGCTAATTACAGAGGATAAACATTTGTATTCATGAAGATGACAGCTAGACTAGTACCTAAAAAGGCGCTCTCCCATAGAATACTTTTAATGGATTCTTCTGGACCTGGAGGCAATGCCTCCTATACTAAGGGACTGACACTCCAGACTCTATGATAATTCCATTCAGAATGTACTTCAAGCCAAAACTAAGAAAGGCTGTGTAGAAGCCAGCAACTGAGACATTCAAAGACAATGTTAATCTCTAACCCTGGTGCCACTGCTGAATGGCTTCTGCTTTATTTTAGGAAACCTTAACAATTTAAGTAGTAAGGAGTGGACTCTGCATTCCTGGCATATCCAAATGTCCACTGAAGCCAAAGGAGATGTAGATGGGTCAAGGTGCTTGGGATAAGGCTCTAAAGGTAGCCAAAGGACTGTATTAGAGCAGAACTCTGTTTCTGAGTTAGGGAATTTATACCCACAGCAATTGTTAGGATGAGAGGGATCCTGCACCCCTCATCTGGCCCACCAACCACAATGTAAAGACTCCTAATATATCATTGGCATTTTAATTGACAACATGAATTAAACTGGATCGAAGGTGCCCATGTAACTCCACAGATATCCCACAAAAACCACAATGTCCTGAATGCATTGGAAAGCACAGAGCAAATCTATAAACCCTCAGAAAAGCCAGTTCAACTTTCTGAATTTGCTTTACCAAACAGAGAAAGCCCTTTAGAAAAATAGAAAAGCATTTGGCTTAAAGGATAAGCCAACCTTTTCAACCAGCTACAGTGTTTGCTATTGACGGTAACAAGGTTTGAAATATATCTAAAACCTATTTAAGTGGAGTGCTCTCCAAAAATATAACTCAGTCCTGGGTCATTTATTTTGCTTCATGCTCTCCATAGAGAGATTTTCCTTCAGACAATGAGAAAGTTTCAGGAAAATGTAAACAAATCTCCTACAAAGCCATTGTTCCAATAGGGCAATGCCTATCTGGGCTTTTGCAGAATCTTCTTCGCCCAGGAAAACCAAAATAATCTTCTATGTTTTAAAAAATATACATATTCTTTTAAAAAAAATCAGAATTCAAAACACATCTGAAAATATATCTGTAAGAACAGATAACTGTGTTAGCAATACTGAACCAGTAGCATAAAAAAAAATAGTACACTCTACCTGGAAGGCTGAAATTAATATATTCAGGACATTAGTGCATATAAAGAACTCCCTGCAAAGAGCTTTAGATGCCAATTTGTATCAAAGATTTTTCAGTGCTTATTTTTGGGCCTGGTGTTATGAAGTGTTCATTAGACCCAGGGGAATGGAGACCTTTCAGCACCTCAATGCATCAGGCCCTTCCTTCTTTCCCTTCCACCCACATCTATCAAATAAAAAGAAAAAGAAAAAACTTCAAATTTTCCTGTTACAAAACTGCAACCCCACAAAAGCCACTGGGGCTGGAAGAGTGTACCAGAATGCTAGAGATTGGCTATTTATGTGCAATATCTGATGTTTGCATTGTTGCATCATTAAGAGATTTCCCTGTCCAAATCAAATGTGTTCTTCTATGCAGCACGTCACAGCTGTTGATTAGTGAAGAAGGATTTTGCCTCCCTGCAGACAGGATTTACACAAAGTGGACAGCGGAGGGTTAACTGCTTGGAGCAGATTTCATTCGACTGGATATGTGAATAGACCAAATCTGCCAATGCCTGAAAGACAGAGTATTAAAAGTAGAAGTGAGTGCACTACTTGCAGAAAACATGCACGTTACCAACCTACGAGGCAGCCAGACCAACAATCCGTCAGACCAAGGGATGTATCATGACACCAATTTTTTAGTATAAACTTCTCCTTGCTTTCAATGCAGACCTTGATTTTTAAAATTCATTGGCATAATATTGGCACTAATAAGTAACACTTTGCCTACCAATTTGGCAATTAAAATAGAATTCCCTATACTTTGTAGTTCATAGACCGTAAACTATTTTCATTTGTCACTTATTTTTAAATTGATACTTAAATTGATACTTGCTGCTTCTTCGTTTTGACAAAGAAGAGCATTTTTTCTCTCATCATTTTCACTCATTTACTGAGATTGCCAGTAAAGCAATCTGCTAGAGCCTTCCAGAGGACTGCTAAGGTGTATTTTCTACTAAAGCTATAGTAACAATATGGATACCTTGGAGAACAATGGATTTCCATTAAGAGACTCTGCCCTTCTGATGTTTTCAACTCCACACTGAATCAAAAACAAGAGAGGAGACAAAAACAAAGTACTGTTAAGGAAAAAAAATACCCCAGTATCTTTTTTTGAAGAACCTCATTTCTGTATCATGTCAAGGTTTCCCAATAATGACTGAATTAAATGTGGCAGTATTTTTTTAGCATAGCTAAAATGACTAGGAGACAAAATTTTATTTTGATACCAGGTGTCCCAAACCCCTTATTTATTGATGAGTATGCAGATCATTTATCTTAAATAATTTAAAAAGGGGTGAAATTCAGCTGTCAGTTACATTGATAAAAATTCAAACAGCCAGCCAATTAAGATTAACTCCAGATTTACATCAGTATAACAACGGACCCAAACCCCCTACAACGAGAGCTAAAAACAGGGAGGCAGAACTGCCCAAACAATTATGAGAATTCCAATGATGTTTACCTCATTTGCTAAAACTTGTGCATATTCAATATCCAGTTCATAGAGTGTTTCAATGTGGTCACTGGTAAATGCTATTGGAACCAATAAAATGTTCTTCTTTCCCCTTTTACAGAGTCCTTCAATAGTTTCATCTGTCTGTGGACCCAGCCAAGCCATTGGGCCAACCTATAAGAAAATGGAAGGGAAAAGAAAATCCTTCTACAAATCTTGATAGTCTTTTCTTCAAAAATTACCCTTTGTCATTCTTTAATTAAATGATAAATATTCTAATTTGTTTTATGAAGAATCAAATTTGTCTGTTTATCTTATTATTTTTAGCAGTTTCTTCATCCCTCCCTTTCTATCTATTACTTTTTGATGAAGTAACACTGCCTATCTGTTTAGGCCCCTCGGACAATCCACCCTGACAACCAACAGGCAGAAGTTAATGAAACTGCATTTACTGATATTAATATTAAACAGCACACCTTTTGAATGGATGATTGGGTTTTAGAGAGTACTTTAAGACATTTTAGAAATAAAATAAGTGTCCTTTGTTTTTAATTCCAACCCTCTCCCCTCTCCCCTCCCCCACTGCAGCTACTGTGCAGGATTTTTACTGCCTCTAAAGAATTTTTCCATTTTGAAGACTACCAAAGTAAATTGTGTCCCTTTAACATCCAGAAAGTACACATGATATTTCACTTGCTGCTTCTTCGTTTTAGAACAACACAACCCTACCCCCATAACTGTACAATTTGAGAAATGTAAATTACTATGCAATTCCGACAAGGTTAACATTTCTTAAAGTTCCCTCATTTCAGTGCACACACACACATGCACACACACTGAAACCTTTGTTATCTGGCACTCTGTTAACCAAAAACTTTGTTAACTGGCATTGCCCCCAGCCACAATTCCGTCACATCTTCAGGAGCGCAGGCCTGGCTAGGTTTACCATGATTAGCTTAACAAAAATTTAAGAACTACTAATTATCTTTAACTCAAAATAGAAATGTGAGACCAACTGCCTCACACTACAAAACTACCAATATTAAAAACCTGGTTTTTACTATTATTGTCCATTGTTTTTTCCTAGGTTGATGGGACCCTCAGATAACTGGAATTTTTAAATAATTGGAATGCCCTAATTCCCAAGCTTGCCAGATAACACAGATTTTACTGATTATTTTTATTTATTTATATATATATATATACACACACACACACAGTATACATTATACAAAATATTCTTAACCCTTTTTATTTTACATACTGTATACAGTGTACTGTAATGTTTTAGGGGTTTTTTTAAGACTTTTTGACCCTTTTTGCTCAGTTCAGCTGCTGCCGCTGTTACCTTGTGACTCATTTTTTGCCAAAGCTCACTCACTAGGCTCTTGCCATTTTGATGCCGGACTATCAGGAGTGCCGGACTAATGGATGCCGGACTATTGGAGTTTTACTGTACTTGCTTTTAAAAAATAAAGGCTTTTTGGATTGGGCTCATGTCCTTAACAATGGACATAACCTTATAAACTACCTATTGGAAGGTCTCTAAGCAGTATTTCAAGAGACTTAATCATAGTTCATTTGCTTCCTCTTTCCAGCTGCTAGTCAGGGGAAAAAAACCCACCACTGATGAGCATATTAGGGGTGCTGCAGATCTCTGAGCTATCAAAAGTTTAGTTGGGAGTAACGCATCAAGAACTTCTGTAAGAGACAAAAATTTGTCACTGTCTGTTGAATATATATAGAAGATATAACCCAAAGACACAAAAGCCACCATCATTTCATTGTAACACAGATGCTTCCAGACAGTAGCAGAGGTAGGAAGTAAGGATGTTAAGGACTAGTCGACTATCCGATAAGCAAAAACTTATCGGATAGTCAGTCAACTAATTGATTACCCTCCCTTGCTTCCTCTATCAGATGGAGGCAGCAAAGGGCGGGGGGGAGAGGGAAGAAGGGTACTTCAAAGCTTTGACACCCCACGATAACATTTCAAAGGGGCAGCCGCTGCACAGCTGATCCCTGGCTCAGCTGTGCAGTGTTGCCCCTTTAAAACGTCATCCCAGCATTTCAAAGAGGCAGCGCCTGGGAACTTGGGGTCAGGTTCCGTGCAGCATTTCAGCAGACCCCGGAGTCAACCCAGGCTCGGTGCGGCATGCTGCACAGCATGGAGCCTGGAGTCAGCGGGGAACTCCGAGTCCCCTGCTAACCCCAGGCTCCATGGCTTTGAAATGCACAAGAGCCCCTGCTGGGGACTCTTGTACATTTCAAATCCGGCACGCCTGTATGCAGCCTGGAGTCAACAGGACTTACCACTGACCCCAGGCTGCACATAGAGTTTTGCATTCCTCCTTTGAAATGGGGCTCTTGTACATTTCAAAGAAGGAATACAGAAGTGCCTATCGACTAGTCTAGTAGTCGATGGAAATTCCATGAACTACTCAACTAGTCAACCGCAATTTAACATCCTTAGTAGGAAGAGGCTGTAATAAAGTTCAGAGAGAAGAGATCATCTTAACTTTGATGACTAAGGGTCTGAAGATGGCTTTTAACAACTTCCTTCTCACCACTCACCTTGGATTGCCACACAAGCCTATAGGGGTTCGAAAAGTTGAGCGTCTCCATGACTCTTTGGACGGTAGCTCCCACTTCTTGAGGGTATGGATCACCACGATTCACTACCTGCAGCAGAGAAATACTAGCCTTTCATTCTTCATGAACGTTATGTTTTCTCATGTCCAAAGAGCATCTAAAAACTTTCAGTCTCAATCACTCATTTTAAATGGAGGGAAGCAAGCAAACCAACACTCCACATGCAAGCACAGTTTATGTATCCCTGCAACATGCTGGAGCAGCAGTGCCTTACACAATGGAAGATTTCTATGCAGGTAACAAATGTAAAAGGTACAGTTCACAGAAATTGTTGTAACAGTCACATATGCCACAGCAAACATGACTCTGAATTATCCAGTAAAATAATAGTAATTTAATGACATTATAAGATTATAATTCAACACACGATAGGCCTGTCTTAACCAATGTAATGGATATTTGCTCCTGCCAGACAGATTTCGTGTGTGTATTTTCAGTCACAAGCTGGTATCACAAATGGTTTCCTTTCAATTACTTTAGCATCAAACTGACATTTCATAAGCCACTTCTATTGCAAGCAGCAACATTTGGGGAATGGAACATTTCATGTCATTCAACATGACTTCTGTTGGCTGATTTAAGGAGCAGTATTCATGGGCTGACAGGATGGCATTCACTTGACTCTACCAGTAAAAAAAAGGATGGGTAACTAGTAAATCAATGCGGGAAAAGAGAAGCAACGAAAGCAGCAAATAAAATGTGTGTCCTTAGAGCTCTGAAAAGAGCAAGTCAGATCTTTGTAGATGCATAAAGGAAAAACAAAAAGCAAGAGAAATGCACATTAACATCTGGAAGCCAGAATGTGTGGCCTTTCCCTTCCTGCCTCTAAATCAATCCTATTAATTTAGATATTCAGCTCTTCAGAAGAGGAACGATCTCTCACAATGTGCTTGGCCCAACAAGGCCCAGATCTCTCTTACGCTGTGTAGTGGGGTGAAGTGGCCGCCAACCGACCCAGAGGGGGAGGAGCCCCTCCTAGAGCCCTGGTGGGTAGTGCCTGACCCCAGCACCCCACCTGACCTGAAGGCAGGACTAGGAAGATAAAAGGCCAGCCTAAGAGGCCAATCATGCCCCAGCCACCAAAGGAGCCAGAAGCCTCCTTTGCATTCTCAAGCAGGGAGGTGAGCCTGAGGGAAGCCCAAGGACTGGCCCAGACTGCTGGGCCCACAGCTGGACTATGGTCTTGAGGGAGAACTATTTAGAAAAGCTAGACATACACAAATCCATGGGTCCAGATTTGATGCATCTAAGGGTACTGAAGGAGTTGGCAAATGTCACTGCAGAGCTTTTGGCCATTATCTTTGAAAACTCATGGAGATTGAGAGAGATCCCGGATGATTGGAAAAAGACAAATGTAGTACTCATCTTTAAAAAAGGAAGGACAATCCAGGGAACTACAGACCAGTCAGCCTTACCTCAGCTCCCGGAAAAATCATGGAGGGGATCCTCAAGGAATCCATTTTGAAGTACTCAGAAAAGGAGAAAGCGATCAGGAATAGCCACCAAGGGCAAGTCATGCCTGACCAATCTGATTAGCTTCTGTGGTGAGGTAACTGGTTCTGCAGACATGGGGAAGTCAGTGGATGTGATATATCTTGACTTTAGCAAAGCTCCCACAATATTGTTGCCAGGAACTGAAGGGAATGTGGATTGGATAAATGGACGGTAAGATGGATAGAAAGCTGGCTGGAAGGTCGGGCCCAGCAAGTAATGATCAACAGCTCGATGTCAGGATGGCAGTTGATTTCACGTGGAGTGCCCCAAGGATCAGTTCTAGGGCCAGTTTTGTTCAACATCTTTATTAATGACCTGGATGAGGAGATAGATTGCACCCTCAGAAAGTTTGTGGATGACACTAAACTAGGGGGAGAGGTAGATACGTTGGAGGATAGGGATAGGGTCCAGAGTGACCTAGACAGATTAGAGGATTAGGCCAAAAGAAATCTGATGAGGTTCAACAGGAAAAGTGCAGAATCCTGCACTTGGGACGGAAGAATCCCGAGCACTGTTACAAGCTGGGGACCAACTGGCTAAGCAGCAGTTTGGCAGAAAAGGACCTGGGGATTACAGTGGAGGAGAAGCTAGATATGAGTCAACAGTGTGCCCTTGTAGCCAAGAAGGCGAATGGAATATTAGGTTGTATTAGGAGGAGCATTTCCAGCAGATCTAGATAAGTGATTATTCCCCTTTATTTGGCACTGGTGAGGCCACATCTGAAGTACTGCTTCCAGTTCTGGGCCCCCTCACTACAGAATGTATGTGGATGCATTGGAGAAGGTCCAGCGGAGGGCAACCAAAATGATTAGGAGACTGGAACATATGACCTATGAGGAGAGGCTGAGGTATTTAGGCTTATTTAGTCTGCAGAAGAGAAGAGTGAAGAGGGGGGGACTGATAGCGGCCTTCAACTTCCTGAAGAGAGGTTCCTAAAAGGATGGAGAGAGGCTGTTCTCAGTAGTGACAGAAGACAGACCGAGGAGCAATGGTCTCAAGTTACAGTGGGAGAAATGTATGTTGGATATTAGGAAAATCTATTTCACCAGGAGGGTGGTGAAGCACTGGAATGGGTTACCTAGGGAGGTGGTGGGATCTCCATCCCTAGAGGTGTTTTAAGTCCTGGCTTGACAAAGCCCTGGCTGGGATGATTTAGTTGGGGCTGGTCCTGCTTTGGGCAGGGGACTGGACTCAATGACCTCCTGAGGTCTCTTCCAGCCCTAGGATTCTATGACTGCTTACCTGGCTGGAGGTTCAAACCCTGCGAAGCCCAGAGGGCCTGCATTGGAGCCAGGTACATTCCAAGGGGGGGAATGGCAGCAGCCCAGGCATGGCAGACCACAGTGTGGCTGAACCAGAGCCAGGGTCAGCGTGTTGCGTTGGCAATCCCCGCTGACCCAGCAGCAGACTGCTTTGCTGCTGTTAGGGCCCTGGGCGAGGACGCAGTGGAGTGGGTGGGCCTGCATCCCCCCCTGCCACCCTATTCCTGGATGACAGTCTCTTCTCTCAGCTGTTCCCAAACGACAGCCTGCATTTTAATCAGACCCCTGCCTGAGCAAGGGAATCCGACTGTGGCTGTTGCAATTTGGACCTAGTTACTATTATCTAAGTGCTGCTTGTCTGTTTGTGTGCTGCCCCTCCCTGAACCAGGGCCTGGGCCTGAGAACGGTTTATGTGCCACCCTGCCCTACACCCGGGTTTGGGCCTGCTATCAGTGGCCATGGACTGTCTGAAGGCCGAAATCCTATAGTTGATTCCCCAAAAGACACTGAGTGGCATGTAATGGGGTGGAGTGGCCACTCTCTGTCCCAAAGAGGAAGGAGCCCCTCCCAGAGCCCTATAGGACTACATGCTATCTTTGTGCAAAATATATAAATAAATATTGCTTATGTCCACTGTTCGCTCTCTGCCATTAACCACCAGATGGCAGCATATTCCCAAGAATAAAAGCCTCAGGGGGTAGCCGTGTTAGTCTTTAACTTAGTCCTGTGGCACCTTAGGGCAAGTTTACATGAGGAAATTTCAAAATAACTTGAAATAACTTCTGAAAAAACTATTTCAAAATAGCATGTCCATACTACAGGGAAGCCTCGAAATTAGTCTGAGGCAGGCTCCCTTAATGTGAACGTGCTACCTTGACTTAGAGCTCCAGGAAATACTGGGGAGTAATTACTCTGAGTGACTCTGGGGAGTAGTTATTTCGAAATAGCAGCAATGGAGAATCTACACTACCACTATTTCGAAATAACTATTTCAAATAAGCATTATTTTTCGTGGAAAGCAGGAGTTATTATTTTGAAATAACGGGCTTGGTACTGTGGATGCTCCCCTTGTTATTTCAAAATAAGGAGAGTTACTCCAAAATAACTCCCTAGTATAGACCACAACTTAGAGACCAACAAAAATAAATACAGTATCATATTTTTGTTAGTCTTTAAGGTGCCACAGGACTATTTGCTGTATTCAAAAGCGTATGAGAGTCTTGCAGGTCTAGGCAACAGCAAAAGTAAAGGAGCAAAGATTACAAATAATGCTTCCAAAAAAGCAGGACCCTGCATCTCACTCCTGACTGGCACTGGACTGACTTTCTGAAAAGAGGCACAGTTTTGAGTTACATAAGTTGACTGCGACATATTCCACACGTTTTTTCATCTGTAATAATAAAAAAATCCACAATGGATGTTATTAAAAAGATGAACCATGATACTCACAAATTGGTTGAACTATGACATTACAAACCATTAGTACTGAAAGGATTTTAAATGCATACCTATGGAACAAGATAGCTTTACAAAATAATTTATTATTAAATTGTGCTTTGCCACATCACCTGATCGTTCCTCTTCACAAATGAAGGTTCCTCTTCAAAAAATGAAGATAGATTCTGCAGACTTCTCTTGTGTGGGACAATAACCTCTGCATTTTTTTTCAAAATGATTAAAAGCCACTGTATTGTAACTTACAAGTTTCTGCCAGCTCATTGTGATAAAATCACCCACTCTAGATGGTCTATTCCAAATGTGCAAAGATTCTAATCTTATTGATCCAAGGAGAGTAATTTCTCTTTGAAAGGTGAGAGAGCATAATTAGTTTTTCCCCGCATTATCATCATGTCAAAGCGAGGGGCAAAGAAGTAGGTTTTATTTCCTTAGTTGGTCTAATCCTAATGGCCTACAAATGACATGCTTCTCAAAACTCTTCTGTTAGAGGTGCAATTCGTGAGACCAATGTGACTCCCCTCCACTCCCCACTCCTATGAGACTGGTTTTTAACGAAATCAGAAATGACTTCATGTTACTTACAGACATTGGCAATGAGTGAGCTGAGAAAAGAATGACAACATCTTTCCTTTTTTCAGGTGGAAACAGATCCAGTTCTTTTTGTATGTGATCTGCAAAGCACTATAAGAGAGAGACAAAGGAGCCTGGATTGGTAAAGGAGATTCACTCATCTGCTGAAAATAATGCTCACAAATTGGCTGGGCAGTGGGCACCCTTTGCTTTAACTCACCATAAGAGCTTCTAACACCACAATAGAGATTCTTTTTTAGCAGCGTGTCGGTGGAAGTTTGATCAGTAGAGTGTACAATCAAGTGTTCTGTAAATAATGAACTACAGTGCCAAATCAAAACCCACTGAAGTCTATTGATAAGTTCCCAAAGAGCTTTGGATCAGCTACCTGGACCTCAGGTACAGGACCCAAGTTAATATATTACAGCAAACTGATTTAATGTCTGCCCACACGCCCCAGTCAAACTGCTCTCTGAGACAGAAGCCTGCTGTGTAAAATGTGTGCCCTAAAAGGATAACAAACTTGGGCTTTGTGGGACCTACAGGACGATCAGGTTTCACTGCCCTACATCCCACCCAACATTTAAATTTATGGACTGACAGAATGACAGGTGTCTTATGGATCCTTATCTGAGCTGAAGTACCACTTGTCTACACTGGCACGTTTTGTCACCAAAAACTGCCTTTTGGCAACAGGACAGAGAGAATGTTTTGTGATCTCTGCTTCACTGCAGGCATGTGCCCCTTCCCTTTCAAAGCTCCAGGAAGTATATGACATCTGAATGAGCTGCTACTTTGAGAAACAAAGAACAAATCACTGGATTGCGCCCATTCCGCCCTGCTAGAAAGACAGGCAGACTGCTGCTGCAGAGGGAGGGCTGGAGAGATTGCTGTGCTGCTTTGATACTCCTCAGCGCGAAGAGCTCACTAAGGGTACGTCTAGACTACCGCGTTTTGTCGACGGAAGGTTTGTCGACAGATACTGTCGACAAAACTTCCGTCGACAAAGAGCATCCAGATACATTGAGTTCTGTCGACAAAGCAAGCTGCTTTGTCGACAGAACTCAATGTATCTGGACGCTCTTTGTCGACGGAAGTTTTGTCGACAGATACTGTCGACAAAACTTCCGTCGACAAAGAGCATCCAGATACATTGAGTTCTGTCGACATAACGTCGACAGAACTCAGCGGTAGTGTAGACGCTGGTATAGTTTTGTCGACAAAAGTGGACTTTTGTCGACAAAACTAGGTAGTCTAGACACACCCTGAGCTAGAGGGCATCCCACGAAGCACAGGGATCAGCTCTGCTTTCCCACAACACTGCACTGTGGGATGCTTACCCATATTGCTTTGCTCTATCTGTGGACAGGGTACTAACAATGCAGCCATGAAATAGGAGGCAGAAAAACCGGTTTGGCCATTTTTCACTTTTGGTGACTTTGCATGTTGAAAGCACTTTTGTCACCCAACCTTCTCAATGTAGACATAGGCCGATAGGACAGCATGTGGGGAGACACATGGATTCAGTAACCAGGACATGGAAAACAAAGCCTTATTTACCTTACATGATGATGGAAGAGTAGGGAATGATTGTGACCTTAGAATCATAGCAGTGACTGAGATCAGAATATAGCACTTGATATAAAGGATGCGAGAGGCAGGTAACTGGCTAAATGTGTAGTTGATAGAATTTTTCTCCACTACACGGTTAGTTGATAAGGGAAGGCGCTCAGTCCCAGCTTGCGCCAGGTCCAAGAGCTATCCCTGTTGCGGCTCTGCAGTTTAAATGTACAGGTTGCACCTCTGAAACCAGTACTCTCTGGTCCGGCAACTGGACCTCGGATGCTCCTGGACCAGAGAGCCCCAGAGCCTAATGGCAGGAGGGCCAGCAGCCTGGCCAGGGCTGGAGACAGTGGGGTCGGAGGAGCCTCCTAGCAGTGCTGGGGCCAGGGACTGGAGAACCCTGGCAGTCCATGGCATCAGGGAGCCGGGGGCTGGGGAACTCCAGATGCCTGCAGCAGCATGGGGCTGGCAGCCGTAGCAGCTGTATGGGGTCAGTGATTGGAGAAGCCCAGTCACCTGTGGCAGCCCGCGGCAACTCAGGGTTGGGGGCTGGAGAAGGCTGGCTGCCAGAGGCAGTGCAGGGATAGGAAAATATGGCTGCACGAGGCAGTGCGGGGCAGGGCCAGAGAACGAAGGCAACCTGAGGCTGGAGGCAGCAGAATGGGGGACAGGGAGCCAGAGGCAGGAGGCTGGCTGGCTCAGGGCCTGTGGCAGGGAACACCTTCTCTGGTCCAGAAAATTCTGTAGTGTGGGATGGGTCAGGTCCCAACTGTGACAGACCAGGGAGGTACCATGGGTAGTAGGAGTTGGGCACGCAGGCAGCCTTGCTCCTAGTACATATAAACTGCGGAGGTATAGTGGGAGTAGGTCCTGGACACGGTGCAAGCCGGGATTGAACTGAGCTACCTGTTCGGCTGGAGCAACCCCTGTCTGCTGCAGCCCTTGCAGGCTGCGGGCAGAGGCTGGGACCCTCCACAAACAGGGGGTGCTGCTGGAGCAGCCTGTGCCCACACAAACTTGGGCCGGCGTGGACAGGGGCTGCTTCACAGAAGCCTCCCCTGCTTCTCCCCTCCCCCCCCTTGGCCACTTTTAAGATAGCTCCACCTTCCCCTCCTCCCCCCCCACCTGCTGCCTCTGTATCAGAGGCAGCAAGGCAGCAGGGGGGAATGTGAGTAGTCAACTCGATAAGCACAGGCTTATCAGGTAGTTGACTACTCACTCACATCCCTATTCGATATACATGTCCCAATGGCAAGGAAACAGACAGAAAGAAGAGAAGCTAACTTAACAATTTGCATACTGTGCTAATAATAGGGAAAAACAGTTTGCCATGACTGTCTGCAGCTCCTTAACAGACACATTGCAACAACCACCACCAGACAAGATAAAAACGATACAAAAATTAAACTTTAATTTCTGTTGCAAAGATGCAATCGAGCTGAGCCAGCCCTTCACTTACAGGTTCCCTTGGGCAGGGAGAAATGCGTGTGGGTTAGTTCAGAAAACGCAGCAGTCTCTGTGTGCCATCCACCTAATGGAGAGCAGTATTTGGCAGATTATTTGATCACGCAGCAGATTACACAGCCAGATTCAGCCCACTGAGATCTCTCATTGAAAGAAATGAGCGGTGTGTGCAAGCGCCAAGAACTACTGTTCTCTCTTGGTCTCGCACTCTATTCGGTCTAAGACCAGTGTGAACATGCAAACGTTGAAGACAGAGGAGGAAGAAAAGGTCCTAATTCTGTTTGTCATCTCCCGTGGCTCTCTCTTGGACTCACTCCAGCAAAAACAGCCAGGAAAGGAAGGAGCAGAATGCAGCTGGTGCTAAGTGTTTCTGCCCGAGCTACTGCTGTGGCCAGCATTAGCCACCTCTCTGATGCCAGACAAGGGCTTTAGGGTCATAATACAAAACTGGATGTGTGCTATTATTAAAAGTGCAGCACATGCACTCCATCTTTTTAAACTTTAAAAGAAGGGCTCCTCCTTCAGTCAAGTATATTACCTTTTTCCCTCCTTTCTTTTTGAAGGGAATCCGGATTCTGCCTCTACTGAAGTCAATGAGAAGCCTACCATGGACTTCAATAGGAGGATAATCAAGCCCGTTAGTCTGCCAATCTCCGTGTGACATTACTAACATTAGGCATATGGAAGCAATGCCAGCTTCCACACATTAGTCCCGAACTAACACTACCCCCAGTAATTTCAGACCTAGCATATAGGTTCTCCACTCTGTCCTGATTCGGCCCCCAGCTTGCCTGGATCCATCACCTGAGGCTCAGGGCTCCCTGCCCAGCACTGGGGAGCCCATGCTGGCGCTCCAGCCCCCTACTGCCTCCCCAAAGGGCTGAAGCACACAAAATCAACTAGCCTGGGCCCTTCTAGGCTCTGGTGTGCGAGGGGAGTACAGGGAGTGTCTTTCTTCTCAGTCGGGACCCATATCACTGAGGATTTGTTGGATGTTTGCTTGGTTTTTGTTTTTCACTTGTGTGCAGCCCCGACTGATTTTTCTGTGGGCCAGCAGCCCCCGACCCAATAAAGGTTCCCCACCCTGACAAAGAAAATACAGTTTTTATGAAATACAATATAGAACTGAAATATTCCTTTTGTTCTGGGAGATTTTTAAAAAGCTTGAAACAATCTAAACCAGGGAACAATTGTGTGTCCCTTTAAGACATGGAGAAAGGAAGTCTGTCATTTGTCTCAAAGGAATCAGGAATTCCCAGAAGGAAAACCCAACCTGGCATATTCAATTTTTTTATAAGACTGCACTGACACTTAGTTTTAACTGTCCAACCAAAATCCTTCAAATGCTCTGGCTGCAGTCTAAAAAGTCATTCCACAAATGGTCTTGGGGGCACGGAGGTTCCTATGGTTGTCTCTTAGGGTATATCCACACAGAAAAAAACAAACAAACAAGTTCTCACAGCAGCAAGTCTCAGAGCCTAGATCAGTTAACTTGGACTGCCGTGGCTTGTGCTGCAAAGCTATAAATAGAAGTATAGATATTCAGGCTTCTGCTGGAGCTGGACTCTGAGAACCTCCCCCGCCCTCCCCCTCCCCCCCAGCTTTCAGAGCCTGGGCTCCCGCTCCAGTGTGAATGTCTCCACAGCTATTTTTAGCCCTGCTGCAGAAGCTCCAGTCAGCTGACACAGGCTCTGTGGGTCTTCTCTTGCACCACAGACGTACCCTCAATAACTCCATGTCAAATCTGCTCAACTGGCAAGCAGAAAGGTATGTTTTCCTCACAGCCGCAATGGTTTGCAAACTCCATACCTGAATGAGGAGGGGATGTGTGGGCCACCTGTCAATGATGCTCCACTTCATCTTTGGCTTCTCCCCCTTTTTATTATAGTAGCGATAAATGGCATTGAGGCTGCTTCCTGAAATGAACAAAATTAGGATATTAGCAGAAGCATTGGCTATAAATTCATCAGAAGTGTGGATGCTGCTGGACAAAAAGAGTTTTACAACTAGCCATTTCCATATTTCAAAGACTAGGTGTCAAATATATTATACTGCAAATCAGAACTGAGAGCATAAGAGTAGAATAAATACTTAACTCATGAAGTCTACGTAACTAATAGGGCTTTTCTACTCACCAATCCTCAAGATTATTCTCAAGAGTTAAGGGAGCATTATATTAAGTATCACTGTGCTCTACTGCAAACCCCAAAAGAGTGTTATATTGCATGGGGAGGATGGGTCCCTGCATTAACTGAAATGTACAGAAAGCCATTATCACCTGTCAGAGTCAGGGAGGTGAGACGCCTCTAGAACATACGCACAGACCTGCAGGTTTCTCTTTTTGTTTGCACTGATAGTGGGTCTAATGGTCAAAACTCCTAGGTCTATGCCACTCATTTGTGTGACTTCAGGACAATGTCCTTTATTGGGCTACGCTTCAGTTTACCTATCTGTAAAATTAATGTAACTCCTCACAGGCACATTATGAGGCATGAACAGCTAAAAAGGCCTATGGGTTTAGAACTCCTTATTGTTAAAGAACAGGGTTCTACTCCTAATTGAGACACCTAATGCAGGCCAACCAGAAAGCTTAAGTTTTTCCGTTAAAAGTATTTGCACAAGAGAGCATCTATACTGGCATGTGCCTTTGGACAAAAGATTTGTTTTTGCGCAAAAGCATCCGTGCCAGTGTAGACACTCTCTTGCGCAAGAAAGCTCCGATGGCCATTTTAACCATTGGGCTTTCTTGCGCAAGAAATTAACTTGGCTGTCTACATTGGCCCTCTTGCGCAAGAATACTTGTGCAAGAGGACTTATCCCTGAGTGGGAGAGTCGGAGTATTTGCGCAAGAACCACTGATTTTGTACAGTACAAAGTCAGTGTTCTTGCGCAAATACTCGCGGCCAGTGTAGACAGGCAGCAAGATTTTGCGCAAAAGCAGCTGCTTTTGTGCAAAATCTTGCAAGTCTAGATGTACCCCCTGTGTTTGTATGCTCTGCTGTTTGGATATCTTTGTAATGCTGTTTATCTTCTCTTTTTATTGCACTTTCACAGACACAGTCACCTGTGGTAGAACAGCTGTATTGCGGATACTGGGTGAATGCAATAGCCCTTTCCACTCCATCTTTCTCCATCTCTTCAATTGCTTCTTCTGTCAGAGGATGGACATACCGAAATCCAATATAGTATTTGTGAGGCGCTGCCAGAAAAAACAGAAAAAAGAAATAGCAGCTGATCATTTTATTTGCAAATGCTCTCATTTCAATATCACCTTCTGACTAGCTACAGCCCAGCATCCTCAGGAATACACTCCGCCTGACTGAACAACAGCCAAAATGACAATCACAGTGCTGAAAATCTCTGCCTGGTTTGTGGTAAATTAAGCGGTGGAGAAATAATTGTATAATTTATATGCCAGACACTTACCGTGAGCTGTGAATTCGTTTTTTGGAAATATATATTAATTGCTGAAGAATCTAGCCATAAGAGTAGTAGCATTAATCTGTAAAATTATCCCTCCCCTCCAAGCATAGAGATAATTTAAATATATTTTTACAGGCCAGCACCAGAAGGACAATGACATGTTATAATGGCACGTTCCTGATGACAAACTGCAGTATCAAGAAGGTGTGTTCAACTAAGTTAAAAGGAAATGATCAACCCTGCTCATACCAGATATAACCAACATCACCTTAAAATACAAGTTCACTTAGGCAGTTAGCTCAGAGAGAACAGAGTTCTTGTATTCCAAATGATGGGTTAAGAAATACCAAACATCTTAAGGCAGATTACACAAGCACGTCGATAGGGGAATCTATTTCATATGAACAGCCATACTGGATCAGACCAATAACCCATCTAGCCCTGTATCCTGCTTTCTGACAGTGGCTGGTGCCAGGTGCTTCAGAGGAAATAAAGAGACCAGGGCAATTTATCAAATGATCCATCTTTTGTCACCTCGTCTCAGCTTCTGGCAGTTATTACCAGTGCGCTAAGAGTTACTACCAACAGACTCCGGCTATTGAAGCCTATTGTAAAAAATGCACATTTCTAATGTAAAATAGAAAGCAAGCAAGTCTTTACATTTCTTACATTATCTTAAGGTTCCTGCTTGCTGCTAGAAGAACAAAAAGCTTGAGGGATCAGGCCATGTGTTTTGCACATAAATTGTAAGCTTTCTGGAGTTGAGACTATCCTTTGGGTCTGTGTATATACAATGCCTACCACACAAAGGGCGTGTCTACGCTACACGGAAGTTTGATGGTGCCACGGTCGATCTTTCAGTAAATCAAACTCAGAGGGCGTCCCCATCAGTGCCATTACTCCTGCTCCTCATGAGGAGTAAGGGAAGCCAACAGGAGCATTTGCTCCGGTCAGCCTCCCGCTATGTGGACGACGTGGAAAGAGTCATCAACTCCAGCTACATAATTTACATAGCTGGAGTTGCAGATCTTAGTCTGACCTTCTGATGTAGTATAGACCAGGCCTAAGGTCTTTGGATTCCTAGGGACTGCCACAAAACAAATAGTTAATAAGAATATATACACATGTGCACACCTTTTCCCTCCCTATGAACAAAAAATAAAACAGCACAGTAAAAATAATGCAAGCAGTCCCATGATTCCCACTGTGCTCTTCCGTGAGTTAAAGTAATGCTGCCATCCCCATAGTTAATCAAGTCCTTTCTTTACGCATTTAAAGAATTAGTGGTCTGGTGCTCCTGCTGCTTCTGTGGAGAACTGGGGGCAACCAAAGCTACTCACCAAAACCTGGATAAATGTCAAGGCCAGAGAATAAGTCCAATAGAGCTGATTCCTCCAATATATATAAATAATAATTTCAGAACTATATTGTTGGTTACTCAGAACCCCTATGGCATAGATTACAGGTAAGTTTTCAATCATACACATTTTTCTTCCTAGAACAAACTTAAGGTATCAGCATATAAAATGAAAGCTAGAGAAAAGAAAAATGCAAAATGTTGTCCTTTGAACCATCAGATCATAAGTCTGTGCTACACATGTGGTAACCAAACCCAAAATGATTGTAGTAATAATAATAATAATAAAAAGGTACAGAGAATAAGGCAGAAAAAATCCTATTGCCTCTAGTCTATACAAATCTAGATGTGGTATGCCTACATCTTGAATACTGCGTGCAGCTGTGGTTGCCTCGTTTTTAAAAAGATATCTTGGCATTGGAAAAAGTTCAGAAAAGGGCAACAAAAATGATTAGGGATTTGGAAGGGCTGCCTATGTATTGCTTAGAAAAGAGAAGACTAAAGGTGGTATATGATAAGAGGTCTATAAATAAATAAGGAAAAGATATTTACTTGTTCCCATAACACAGGAACTAGGGATCACTATGTGAAATTAGTAAGTAAGACAATTTTAAAAAAAAAAAAAAAAAAAAAAAAAGTATTTCTTCACACAATGCACAGTCAACCTGTGGAACTCCCTGCCAGAGGACTTTGTAAAGACCAGGATTTTAACAGGGTTCAGAAAAGAGCTAGATAAATTCATGGAGGATAGGGCCATCAATGGCTATCAGCCAGGATGGGTAGGAATGCTGTTCCTAGCCGTTTTTCAGAAGTTGGGAATAGGTGACAGGGGAGGGGATTACTTGATGAATCCCTGTCCTATTAATTCCCTGTGAAGCATCTGGCATTGGCCACTGTCAGAAGAAAGGTCCATCTTGCCCAGAATCCTTTGGTCTGACCCAGAATGGCTGTTACGTTAAAATAGAATTGCAAGGATGCTGCTGATTCAAGCCCCTGATAAGCAAATGTCTCCAAATAGCAAAAGTTTTAAGGGAACAGAAATTAAAAGATTTGGGAAAAATTATAGCTGAGCTGGGAAAAAACACAGGAATAGAAATGTCTTACTAGACATAGAGATTGGTTGTGTTCTATGCCAGTGAAGGGCAACCTAGGCTAGTGAGTAGGCTGCATGAGCAGCACTCCTTTGTCTCAGTGGGCTGTAAGACTTGCAACCAAGACAGTCTCCAGGGATAGGGTAGTTTTGTTATTGCGCTTGCATACCTAGAATTTGTGGAGTCTGCCAAATGAACCGTAGCAGCACTTTAACTGGATGCAGAGAGAGCGCACGGCTCTCACAGCCAATGGTGCATGTAATCAGCACGCACCTCACTTGATAAGCACATAAAGCAAGTGCACATCACTTTACTAAAAGTGGTAGGAAAAACACAACCCGGATGAAAACCAGCAAAATCTGGCAACAGTGCATGAGTGTATCAGTATACAAAATGCCTCGTGGAACACACATAGAACCCCAATGGAATGCATGTGGTGCTCTGGCAGCAGGTTCCCTACCACTGTTCTATGCTAAGAATTCATATATGCTAAAAAGATATTTCAGCTTTGGTAAGAAAGCCAGCGTCATTCTGATCAATCAAGCCCAGCTTTGCAAGCATGTGTTATACACATAAGGTGGTTTCATTATATTCATTGGAATTATCTGCATTTGCAAAATTACTCCTGTGTTTATGTGTTTGAGGATTAGGACTTAAAGGGATCTAGGGGTTATAGTGGACCACAAGCTGAATGAGAGTCAGCAGTGTGATGCTGTTGCAAAGAAAGCAAACATGATTCTGGGATGCATTAACAGGTGTGTTGTGAGCAAGACACGAGAAGTCATTCTTCCGCTCTACTCTGCGCTGATTAGGCTTCAATTGGAGTATTGTGTTCAGTTCTGGGCACCGCATTTCAAGAAGGATGTGGAGAAATTGGAGAGGGTCCAGAGAAGAGCAACGAGAATGATGAAAGGTCTAGAGAACATGACCTATGAGGGAAGGTTGAAGGAATTAGGTTTGTTTAGTTTAGAAAAGAGAAGATTGAGGGGGGACATGATAGCAGTTTTCAGATATCTAAAAGGGTGTCATAAGGAGGAGGGAGAAAACTTGTTCATCTTGGCCTCTGAGGATAGAACAAGAAGCAATGGGCTTAAACTGCAGCAAGGGAGATTTAGGTTGGACATTAGGAAAAAGTTCCTAACTGTCAGGGAAGTCAAACACTGGAATAAATTGCCCAGGGAGGTTGTGGAATCTCCATCTGTGGAGATATTTAAGAGTAGATTAAATAAATGTCTATCAGGGATGGTCTAGACAATATTTGGTCCTGCCATGAAGGCAGGGGACTGGACTCGACCTCTCGAGGTCCCTTCCAGTCCTAGTATTCTATGATTCTATGTAAGAAGCAACAGGCATCCAGAATGGTAAAGATCTACATTTTCCACATGCCTAGTGATTCTGAGTTGCCATAATTTTTCTGGGTCCCAAACATGAAATGCCTTAAAAGTACAGATGTTTAAAAAAAAAAAAAAACAGTTAAAAATGTAACCATGTAACAGTTAAAAATCCTAGTGGTTACACATGCTGCGGGCTCTGCAATACACGCTGTGTAACCGTAACAGAAACCAATAAGCTCATGCTTATCAACTAACTATTTAAACAATTACATTCTTACATCCGTACTGAAATAGGCTGATTTTAAGTAAGTGCTGAGCATCCACCCTCTGAAAATCAGCCCGCTGGAAGGTATCATCCAAGGATTTTACGGTGTTTCAATTCTGGCACCCAAAATTGCTACTTACGTTTGAAAGTTTAGGTTGTTAAAATGCTCCAAAATATTTATAGTGCTTTTAAAAACTGCTTTCTTATACCGTAACTCACATTCTCAACATCAGGAAGACTCAGATTAGTGTAAAACCTTGTCTATACTTACACATTTTTCCACTTTAACTATTATAGTTAAAATGCCATCAACCCCTTTCTACCCACTCCTGTGGAGATATAGTTGTACTGGTAAAAAGTGCATATTTTGGCATAGTTTATTCCTGTTTGGCAAAGTAAAATAAGACATACTAATACTAATATAAAGCGCACGCTACTGGTATAGCTCTATCTACATTTGAGCTTCTACCAGTACAGCTCTCTCAGCAACATAGTTAGCTAGTAAAACTTTTTAAGTGCAGACTAAGCCTAATGAAATTTCAGAGTTCTGAAAAAGACTCCAGAAACATTACATTCAGCTCTGGCTGAAGGTGCACTTTTGGCTTTTCAAGCTATTTTGGAGGCAATGCAGTCGTGTATTTGGCCTCACTAAATCCTCCAAGGTCACCTTTAACAACAGATTGTTAACCCGCCCTACTTCTAAAATTGCAGCTACTGTCTGGGCAGTAAAGTACATCTCTAAATAATGGATACCAATTCAGATGTAAAAGGCTGCACACATAGATAAAGACAGGGCGTCTTTCTTTTGGTGACCACATTGTAAAGTCAGAGGGAGTGATGCACTCTGAGAAGAACAGATAAAGCTCCCTAAAACCATCAACTTCAGGATCTGGTGCAAACCTGCCCCATTTAGAAACTACTTTTATACAAAAAATAAACGACTGCATTAGCTGCTATAGCAGGGTGGTAATTTACAAGTCCATGCTTTGGAGGACATTTATTTTTCGGCTATACTTTGTAGGATTCTAGTTTCAATAGAGTCACATTACAAGGTCTGAAAGAAAGGGCTGAATGCAATCCAAACAAAACAAACTCCTGAGTCAGGGTATGTATAAGAACATACAAACCATTCTTGCTTCAGCAGTATTACCTTTTAAGATTGCAGCTTTTCGCTTTCTAGTGCCAAGTTCTCTATAGTTTTTTTCATATTTAAACCTCATCTACATAAGTTTTAAATGGACCTTAACATTCAAAGAATTACAAATAACTTGGAGTCAAAAGCATATGTAATATTTTCAGACACAGATAGGGGTTTCAGGACATACCAACTGATTCAACAGCTGATTCCAATGCCAAGAAAATGGGGAGAAAGCTCGTGTTTGTGGCATCCAACCACAGTTAAATTACAGGGCTGGACAGACACGCCTCGTGGACCGAAAACACAAACTTTGTCTAGCTTTCACAGTTTTCCCAGTAATTTTTAGTGCTTTGATACCACATTACCAGGACTGGGAAAAGACTGCTGGCTTTAATCCACAATAAAGGTACTCTATGGAAGCTACAGCAAGCTTCCCCACTGAGTTAGTCTTTAGCCTGCCTACCAACTTTCCAAAGGAAGCGAAACATGTTGTGGAGACTGGCTTGCTTAGAACTAAGGTGAACCCTCTAGTTCATGTCCAACAGAGCAGCCACCAGATGTTCATTGCTTTTTGGCCACTACCAAATGAGTATGACTATAAATGACAAGGAACTAGGAAGGACCTAACCCTGCAGACAACTGTAGCCAAATATACTGCTTGCTGCACTTAAACCCCTCAATGGGCATTGAGGCAGAAATAGAATTTTTAGGGCATTTTCCCCAAAAGGTGAGGAACACAGGAAAAGCCTGGCACTACTGAACCTATTCTATGGACGCCAAAAGAGACTGGTTTCCCATACTGCCAGACAAACATGTTCCTATCACTGCATAACGCTCCCATAAGAAAGACCCATGGCTTACAGCATTTCATATGCCCTAGTTCTATTAACCTCACAAAAATCCAGGAGACACACACACACACTTCAAATTTCCAGCAGCTACTCACTGTGACCAGCATGGGATAAACATGTGGAAGTCTAGGCTTAATCTACACACAAACCTGCACCACTTTAACTCAATTCCAATTTTGAACTGATTAAATTAAACTGGTAGTGAGGGAGAAAACTCCCCGCACTAACCCTGCAAGAGCTGAATTAGGCCAGGTGGGCCCAATCAATTAGACTGCAAGCTGGAAAGATTGAGGCTGGAGGTGACTAACAACAAGTTCACCTGGACAGACAGGCCCTGTATAAAGCCAGATAGCTTCCTGCAGAGAGGCAGGCTGCTATGGCTTGAAAAAGCTTCAGTCACTCCCTGTGTGAAGAGAGTTGGAGGCTGGCAAACCAGGGAAGAGGGAGGATTGATGCCCTATAGGAAGGAAGCAGCACAAGGAACCAACAACAAAAGGTTGTACTGTACAAGAACTGTGGTTGCTTGTTATAGGGTCTCTAGGCTGGGTGGGCCTGGGTTTCCCCTACCAGCCACTGGGGTGTGGCAAAAGGCATTGGAGACACTAGCCAGACAACTGTCTGGATAGATGGTAAAATATCTAGAAGAGGGGGATTTTGGTGACCTGGCTGGAGGGCCAATGCACAGAGAGAAAGCTGATGATCCAGGAGTGAGCAGAGCAGTAGAGTAAGACAAGATGGGGCAAGACACCACCAAAGGAAGAGCGCATGACTGACAGTGCTAATTCCCAAGACTGCCAGTGGGAAGTGATGTTTGCAACGAGTGGACTCTGTGAGAACTGGTGGAGAACGCAGGCAATGATAGTTTTGTCTACACTTCACAGTTTAACGGGCAACCGCAGCAGTGCTTTAAACTGGAAGTGCAGCCACAGCACGAGGGCTGGGAGAGAGCTCTCTCAGCGCTCTATGTAAACCACCTCCACATGGAGAGTAGCTAACAGTGCTGGGAGCCTGGCTCCCAGAGCTGTAGCCTGGTTCACACCGGCGCATTACAGCCCTGTAGCTTGCTGCACACAGGAATGTATGTTTTCATATCTCTAAACCAGAAACTTACAGCACTGTGAAGGGCCAGTGTAGACTTGGCCTGAGAAAGCCTTCGAGTAGACAGCTGTTTGTAATACAAGGGAAGCAAGAAAGGCTAGAACAGAGACACTTTGTGGCAAAGGAACCATCATGTATGGAGGTTTTCTTTGCACAAGGCAGGTGTACCTTCCCAGGCTGAACTAGCTGCTCCCAGTGAAGGGGTCTGACAAGCAATGAAGGGGGATACAGGCTCTGATGAGACAGATTCTAGGGAAGCAGCAGTAACAATGGAGGTGCAGAGATACCTGTAAAATTATGAGGGGATTAGCTGAAGAATTGTACTGCTTCCTCAAGATCCTCCAGGAGGTGAGCAGGGCCCAGACAGACTAGGGCAAGCAGGGAGGCCAGAAGCTTGAGCAGAGCAGTGTTATGCCTGTGTGGCAGGCGGGACACTTCAGGAAGTGATGGGGCTGCAAACTGGAAGACTGCCCAGGTCACTGTGGAAGTGAGTGGGTTTGAAAGACTGTACCCTCTGAAGGGAGGAAAACATGGAGTGATCCAGCCAGAGGGCCAGTCAAGAGCAAAAGGGGGCTGCAGGCCAGAGTGAGAGAGACAGAGTGATGGCAGGCAGCCATGGGTGGAAACGTTGACCTCGTGAGCTAATCCCCAGAGCAGCCAGGAAGACCATCCCGAACACCAGCGAGTGAGTCTGTACCAACACTCTTAAAAGGGTTTAAACATGATTTGGATCAATTTGGCTTAAGTTAGTGAGCAACAGTGAAGATCTGGACAGACTGTAAGAAGTTGGTATAAAATCTAAGCTACCTTGAGCGTGGACACAGCCTTAGGGGGCGTTAATCAGAACAAGAGTCGCCACTCCACGATACGGACATCAGTCTCCTGTGATAAAGCTGACTGGCTAAGCTGACAGAGTCCCTAATATTTGGAGGGAGACAGACATTTACATAGAATAACAATTTTATCCCATTATCAAACATTCTCCTAGATGAAGGAGAACTTGCAAAGACTGTATGCACAGTATCTTGTGGATACCGTCCAGGCCAACTGTTAGGCCTTATCTATTGCTCTAGCTTCAGGGGAGGATCCCTCATGTCCTGGGGTGGAGCTGACAGCAATTATCTTGCTTAGTACTGCATAATTAAACTGTAAAATGGCATCTTTCTGTGCCACCCTCTTCCTCTAATGTCTGTAATAAGATCAAGCCTAATTTGTGTTCAGCCTTTTAGCCATGACTGACAGATTCAGGAACAGTTTAAAGGATCCAGACAGTAGTAAATCATAGCTGCGAGACTGTAGTTGGAAGTTATAGCTGCTCAAAGAAGCCACTAGATGGAGTTATAATCTCTCTAACACACAACATGCTCCATCCACTTTGTTGAACTGTTTGTGTTTTGTGTCAGGGGTCTTATCGTTGTATATTAAACAGGAGTGAGAGCGCACCTGCACGCACACGCAAACCAGGGCCTGCAGCAATCAGTCTCCTGGCAACACAACAAGCAGAGGAGGCCCACAGCAGGCCAGGTCAGGAAGGGCAGCAGCAGCAACTCTGGCTGCTCAATTGGCTCATGCCAATAGGTGTTGTGCTCTCGATATCTGCTGCACCTCACCTTGCTTCTGCCCTGCTCCTAGGCCCATTCTTGCCCTGTTTCCCTGCCTGGCTCCTGCTCAATCCCTGCTACCTCACCTATCTCCTAATTCCAGCTTCTTCACCCTGACTCTACCTCCTGATCCCAGCTCTAACCCCTGGTGTGGCTATTAGTTCTAGTTCTGACTCTTGGGGTAGCTACTGGTTTCAAACACTGGCCCTGATGCTTGAATTGGTTCCGCTCACTAGGCGTGACTCCTGCTCTGCCCACTAGATTTTACTACCCATGATTCAATATGCTCTTCCCACACATACACCCAATACAACAAACAGAACAATCTCCTAAACAAGCGTACAGAAGGGTATAAGTACCAGTGTGAGGAGACATTTCATCCAGCAGTTTCACCATGCCTTCTCCCTGCGTTGCTGTCCACTTTTTAATTGGCGACCCTCCTCCGATCCTGCTATATTGTTCTTGGATTTTTGGTGTGCGACGTTTGGCAATAAAGGGTGCCAACTTACTGAAACATTCAAAAGCAGGGTGAGTTAGTAATATATCCTCCATCCCCTCTCCTCTAACATCTTACAAACAAAGCATCCAGACCACCTCCATCCCCTCTCCTCTAACATCTTACAAAGCATCCAGACCATCATCAGCCTTCAAAACACAGCAAGCTAATATTGTTCCACCTCATTCTAAGCATGGCTTGTTTTGCATTGTTTTGTAACTCCATTTAATCTAATTCACTTGAATAAATTTGCCAGTTAGCAGTAAACAAGGACTGATCCTGTAGCCCCCAGTTTCTGGAGGACTACAATATAACTTTTCACTAGCAAGTTCACATGAGACAGTCAGAACAGAATTCTTGCCCTAAAGCACTGCAGACATCTGGAAATCCATGTATAGAGCTTACAACACCATCACTAGCACATTAACGCTCCATGTAAACAAAGTATTTCTTACTTTTGTGCTGGAAGCGTCATCAGATCCCGGTCTAGGAAAAGTCTAAGGAGGAAATCGTGGACATCTCCCAGAGTTTCTGGACCACCCATGTTTAACATCAAGATTCCTGTTTTAGTTTTCCTATTAAAATGAAAAAAAATTTTTTTGAAATCTCTTTCTACTTTGCCTTGTAATCTATTGCCATCTTTTACAACTGCAGGTAGATCCACCTGACCCCCCCTGCTCTCATTCTATTTAGGGATGTTAAATTTCATTTACTCAATGAGGCGATGGATTTTCCATCGACTAGTCGATAAGCAGGCGAGCCACAGCGGGGTTAGCTCCCAACCGCAGGAGCTAACCCCGCTGCAGCTCTGCCTTTTAAACGTATTAAGCGCCTGCCAGATCTTAATACATTTAAAAGGCTGAAGTGCAGCAGGGGGATCCAGTGTGAGCCAGGAAACAGCTGTCACAGCTCACTCCAGGTCCTGCCCTTCCCCCAGCTCTGCTTCTGATTTTTAAAATATATATGGGCTCTTAATACACTTAAAAAGCAGAGACGCAACGTCTGGGACTGGGTGTGAGCTGGGAATCAGCCGATTCCCAACTCGTACTTCCCAGAGTTGGGTGTGAGCTGGGAATCAGCTGATTCCCAACTCGTACTTGGTCCCCACTATTCCTCTGTCTCCCGCAGAGTCAGTGCTAGGAAGAACCAGCTTTTAAGCCGGCTCCTGCTTCCCTCCCTTGCTGCCTCTGATAGAAGCAGCAGGAGGGGAGAAGCAACTAGTCAACTATCCAATAAGCTTTTGCTTATCAGATAGTTGACTAGTTGCTTACATCCCTATTCCATATCTGCAAAACACTCCACAAAAGGATTTGTTTGCAAAGTCCTTTGAGATCCTTGGATGAAAGGCAATAATTATCATAAACAAGACTGTACTAAATGCTATTTCAAATTATGTAGTAACTGCAATATTAAACTGCTATCTCACTTGCTTATACATTATCCTCTGACAATGCAAATAGCTAAACACTAAGTAAGGATATGACAGAGTTTAGCAAATAGCTAAACTCTGAGGGGGGATATGATAGAGGTCTATAAAATCATGAGTGGTGTGGAGAGGGCCAATAAAGAAAAGTTATTTATTAGTTCCCTAAATAGAAGAACTAGAGGACACCAACTGAAATTAATGGGGAGCAGGTTTAAAACTAATAAAAGAAAGTTCTTCACACAGCGTGTAGTCAACCTGTGGAACTCCTTGCCAGAGGAAGCTGTGAAGGCTAGGACTATAACAGAGTTTAAAGAGAAGCTAGATAATTTCATGGAGGTTAGGTCCATAAAAGGCTATTAGCCAGGGGATAAAATGGTGTCCCTGGCCTCTGTTTGCCGGAGGCTGGAGAAGTATGGCAGGAGACAAATCGCTTGATCATTGTCTTCGGTCCACCCTCTCCGGGGCACCTGGTGCTGGCCACTGTCGGCAGACAGAATACTGGGCTAGATGGACCTTTGGTCTGACCCAGTACAGCTGTTCTTATGTTAGGATGGCTGGCTGAGATTTTCAAAGCAGTCACAGCGATTTAGACTCTAAGATGTGTTTGAATCCCACAGACTACTTCAAAAACCTTAACCACTATTTATTTCCCTGCTCCTTTTTCCCTTCTACCCCAAACACTGCACCAAATGTAACAGAGCATAAGGATATATATTTGTTCACATCTATATTGCAGCAGTGCCGATAAGCCCTCATCATAAGGACCCTTCCCCCTTTGTGCTAGATGCTGTACAAAACACAAAACAAAAAAGATAATCACCCTCATCATAAGGACCCTTCCCCCTTTGTGCTAGGTGCTGTACAAAACACAACACAAAAAGATAATCCCAGCCCCAAAGAGCTTAATATCTAAACTTCCAACAAGGAACAACAGATGAGGGAAGTGCAAGAAAACAGAGAGATGATTGTAGTGCTTCAAAACCAGCCTTGTAAAGTAAAGCAAATGCCACTTTGGAGAGAGACAGAAAGCAATTATACTAGGACAGACACACAGTTCATTTGCTGACAGCACACATGAGGCCTGTGAATAAGTCCTTACCTCTTTTCAGGCTGAATTTGAGGCTTTGTGCTTTTAGTTTGTGTGGCTGTTGCTGCTGCTGACTGACCTCTCCATTGTATTTGGACTCTCACTTGACTGCAGCTGCTGCTTTTGGTGACTGGAGGGAAGGTAAGAGTGTACTGTTAGTTTAATATTGGGTAGAGGGTTTTGTTTATATGACATATGCTGGCTCTCCCCTCTCTCTTTAAATGTGCTTGGTGTCTCTTGATATTTGGCATTTCTTTTCAAGCCCCCTCTTCTAAAGCCAAGCAATTTAAGGAGGAATCATCGTGGATTTCATAAAATTTTTAAAAATGGTGAGTGTCTAACCCTCGTGGTTGCAGAGAAAAGCTGAAAAAACATGTCCTGAGAGTGCCTTAAAAGCTCAAAAAACAGAAAGCAAAGCAATAGAACCAAAAAACTCATTTTTGTACATTATTTAAAATAAAGTCAATCTCATGACGTTAGGGCCTGACTCATGAGTTTTGAACAGTTGGGGCTGGCATTACTGCAAAAGACACCACTTCAGCCTGAAGTGAAGGCACAATTAAATGGCTGTGCAGTGAAAACTGCAATACTGTAACAATTCTATAGACAGATTATTTCAGTCACCAAAACTAGAACTTTTCACACGCACTACAATGGCAAAACATTAGAATACACCTGTACAATGTTCTCTCTAATTTTTTCCAACCACAAATTTTATGTACACTGAGGGATGTGCAAATGTGCATCACCAGTAGAAACACATGCCGTGGGCACTGCAAGTGCTTTGCTAATCAGCTGGGCAGCATATGAATTTCTCCTGGGTGGCCACCCAAGCAATCAGCTTACAGAGAACACTGCACCTGTCCATATATAAATATTATTCTGATTAAAAAAACATTTAAAAATCAGCCACTGAATTTCAGGGCTTTTGAACATTTGCAGCAATATAGCTTAATGTATTTGAGACTTGGAATGTTCTTAGCTACATCCTGTGGTGAAATATTTTGAATCAGCAATTCCATAGGATTAGTTCAGGGGCAGTTCAAGTAGGGTTCTTTAACTTCACTCTGGGCAGCCATCTCTCTCACTGCTTCTGATAGCTTCTTCTCTTCACTCCCTAGCTCTAGTCTCAGCCAGAGTGTCCATACGCGGAGATGGATAAGAGGACTACACTTGTCAATGGGAGTTATTAGTAGCTTGAGCATTTAGAACCTCGAAATATCAATAGTGAGTTGAAAGATTGTGGTCTAAGCCACTGTTTCTTTAAACTTTTTGAGACCATGGAACACCAAACAATAATATGTTTTTTATGCAGAACACCTATAAACATTTTCTTCAAAAAAAAATTGTTGGACAAAAAAAAAGACAAAAACAAAGAAGTAACAAAAACAAAGAGGAGGTTGCGGCACACCTGCGAGTTCATGGAACACCAGTGTTCCACGGAACATAGTTTAAGAAACACTGGTCTAAGTGAGTTAGGTGACTTAAGCACTTTTTCTGCCTGAAAGATTGGGGTGGTTTTTTTCCTTCCTTGAAAATCTTAATTTACTAGATTTATAAAAGTTGTATAATACAGTCATCAGCATGAACCTGGTGAGCTCAGGCAGCTATGACAACAAGCTGCTCTTCCGCTTCCCCTTCCAGTGAGGCCCAGAGAACCCAGCAACCCTAGCCAATAAGTGCCACGGACCGGACAGCTGGGCACAGGAAGGCTTGATGCCCATAGCAGGGGAAGAAAAGGCAGAGGTTGGGAGTCCCTGCTGGACCAGGTGGCTTTGGGGAAGTCCCACCCATGCTGGGAACCCCCAGCATCAACGGGGCCAGGCAACTCTGCACTGGCCGGGGAACCAATGTGTTAGCAGGGCCATGTGGCCAGGGAGTCCCAGCCCCAGCCCGGAAACCCTCGTCTCCAGCAGAGTTGCCTTCAGCTGGGTGGCCCTGGCCAGGAACCCTGGGAAACCCTTGGTGGCAGGGGTTACTGGGCAGTCTCTGCCAGCAAAACCACGGCTGAATTAGGGCTTGGTGGAGGCAGGCAGCAAGAATCCTCTGCGGCAGCAGGGCAGGCCCTCGCAGTGGGGCGGCCAGGCAGCCCCGGCTGGGGAAAATCCCATTGGCAGCAGGGCCAGCGGCTGCTGGGTGACCCCAGCCAGGATCCCTGGGGGACACCCTGTGGCAGCAGGACTGGCAGCAGTTGAGCAGACCCCACCGGGAGATCCTGGGACAGCAGGCGGTCAGCAAGGTGGGGAGCAATGCTGGATAGTGGCAGAGTAGGGAGCCTCAGAGAAAGGAGCCCGGGAGCGGGGCAGCCAACAGGGGAGCACTGACTTCCCCTGATCCCGCAAACTCCCTAGTCCGGGACAGCTCAGGTCCAAGGGTGCCGAACCAGGGAGATCCAGCCTGTACTGCATTAAAAAAAATACGTGTTTGCAAGGTTATAACAGACACAACTGCAGTCCTCTCCCAAGAGGGGAGCACTGACTTCCCCTGATCCCGCAAACTCCCTAGTCCGGGACAGCTCAGGTCCAAGGGTGCCGAACCAGGGAGATCCAGCCTGTACTGCATTAAAAAAATACGTGTTCGCAAGGTTATAACAGACACGACTGCAGTCCTCTCCCAAAGCCACCTGAACTGTGCAAAACCCATTGGCCTCCTTTTATACTGGGGTCAACAAAGCTGTCATTAGATCTACTTGCAGAATTTCGGATTTCCCTGCAAACAGTACAGATGCAAATGCAGCCTCTGGACTCAGTAAAATGGTGCAAGCCCATTGTCTGATTGCTGTAACAAAGCAGAATTTGACTCCTTTTTTGGAGCTGGGCTTCCAGAGACACTTTGAACACCAAGCCAGAGAGCAACACACACAACACTGGTGCTACCACCGGTCTGCGACAGAGCAAGCCCAGGGCCGGCTGTGGCCCCGGGGAAGCAGGCTGTGTCAGGCTGGACTAAGTGCACTAGAAAGAGTCTGACGAGGCGGACACAGGCAACACGAAAAACGGGCAAATCCAGAAAGCAGAATCTTGGGAAACGTCTCCTGAGCTGGGCCCTTCCTGCCAAGGTGGGCGGCCCTGCCTTTGGGGGCTGCAGTGCTGGTCAGGCTACTGGCTGCACCGGTAGGAGACACCAGCTGAACCAGGGCAGGATATTCTGGCCTTCGAAAGAGACCCGCCCGGGCGCGCTGCCAGCTGCACCGACTGCACTACAAGGCTCTCGCTACCTCGCTGCAGCCGGAGCACCACTCCCCCCAGGGCCAGGTCTCCCAAGCGCCTGCCGCTGCTCATCACGTAACATGATGCAAACGCTGTCCCTGGCCAGGGCGCGTTGTGTAACGCGGTCCCGGCTGCAGCGCCCCAGCGAGGGGCGCGTCTCCTCGCTGCCCAGGGCGAGGGAAAGTGTTGCACGCGCCCCGCACCGGGGCCGCTCGTGCCCACCCGCCCGGGCCCGGATAACAGGGCTGCGCGGGTGGGGGGGGGCTGCGCTCCCACCAGCCTGCGACGGGGACTCTAGCGGGGCAGAGCTCGGCCCCGAAATGCTCCTCCCACCGCCCCCCGCAGAGTTTGCAGCCGGGTGCTTCGGGAGGCGGGACAGGCTCCGCATTGCCCGGCCGGGAGCGCTGCGAAAGCCCTTTATGTAACGCGGTCACGCGCTGCTGTGCCCCCCAGCTGCAGCCCCCCCCCTCTCTCGGGACTGCTGCTCCCCAGCAGTGCCGCGGCCGGGGCACCGCTTCCCCGCACCCAGGGAACGGGGCGGCTTGTGGGGAGGGGGAGACGACTCCGACCTCTCCCCGGGAGCCAGCACGTGCAGCCCGCTGCAGGAGAGCCCCCCCTCCCACCGTCAGGCTGGCGGGGCAGGGTGCACTGATGGCCACAGCCCGGGGCATCCCGGCAACGCTTAAAATGCAGTTGGAAACTTACATGGACACAACACTCGGTTTGCAGCTCTGAAGGCAGCAGCCATGTTTGTGTGAACTAAATACATTCCCTTAGTCAGCAGACACCCGGGGAAAAGGTTCCCTTCCCCTGCTGAAAAGTGCCTGAGCGACTAGCTGGAGTGGGCTCGCCTGGCTCTGCTTCCTCTTTCCTCCCTGTCAAGCTCCTTCTGTGGCAGCCCGTTTTCGTGGAAGACATGCGTTTGCTCTGCTGGAAGAGGTGGGAACAAAGCGGAGAGGGAGGTCCTAAAGCTAGAGATCCTCCCTCCTCTTTTGATAGTCAAAGAGCCAACTCCCCAGACACCTTGCAAGTGCAAACAAGCAGTGCGACTCAGGTATCCGAGCAAAGGCAAGAAGCTTCAGGCTGCAGAAGGGGCAAACAGTCAAAACTTTAAGTGACACTAAAAGTTGGAGTAATTTGTAACAGGAAACCTGTTCTTTTGAAGGATTTGCGTCCCACGTGATTTTAAATCAAAGAGATACCAAGTATTCTAAAAAGTGTGGTCAACATTTTCTAACGTGGATTTCCAGAGTTAAGCATTTAAATAAACTGACTTTCTGTGGTACTGAGCCTTGACTTTCTGTGATACTGAGCCTGGACAACTCAGTTATGGGTCCTCAGCATCTCTAGAACCTATTTGATCCCCAATCTTGCAGATTAGTAAAAAGAAGTCCATAAATATGTGTTTGCCTGTTTGGTGCTTAGGGACCAAACTATAGGCACTCCCATTTGAAAAACTAAACCTTTTATTTTTATAGCTAGTAACAAAGAAATACTTGTTTATACTAAGTTATCATCTATGATTTTAAAATAGAAGATTGGTGCAGAACCTGAAAGAAAACGGTCTCTTTGTTGTATTGTGACATTCATCTAGCTCAGCTGAAGGGAGAAGATGGAGGGTGCATTATTTGAACCAATTTGGCCAAACCCTAGTGTTTGGAAAGCTAAGGACGAATCGAAATATTTCCATATTTTAAACAGGAAAGCTTTTAATTTATAATCATCTGTATTGTTGCAGCATTTTTCTAGAAAAGCAAGAAAATCTGGCACTGAAATTGACTAAAGTTTATGATCCTGTGACAGAATATATTCCTGAACTTGGTTGTAGTAATTTTTGTATAAGGCATATTTTATGAGGTCCTATCTAAAAACCTATAACTTGCTGACCAATAATATAATGATGAACTGTATCTGGTACCTCTGCAGCTTAGTACATGAGCCTCTACCACCTCCTAATCTAAAAGTCAGCTAGCTCTCAGCTAAGTCTGTAGACCAAATTCATTCTTTCTCTCAGTAAGTGGTCTAAGGGTACGTCTATATGCACCCTATACTCAAAATAAGATATGCAATTTGTACTATGCAAATTGAGTATCTTATTTCAATTTTATTTTGAAATAACTTATTTTGAAATTTGGCCTGTCTACATTGTCTTCCTCATGCAATGAGGTTTATTGGGACGTTGAAATAGCATGCCTGTTATTTTGAAAAATGTTTTGAAATAACAGGCGGCTTGGGTAGACGCAGAGTAGCTATTTCAGGATACCTTTGGTATCCCGAAATAGCCTTGCAGTGTAGACATACTCTAAGTGTGATTATGTGAGACAGTGAACCACACCCAGGAGGGGTGTGGATTACAGCAGCATTATATGTGAAGTTTTAAACATAAATTGAGGCCATGACTAAGCACAAGCACTCCCCAATTTACAAACATCCGACTTACGAACATCCGCACGTACAAACAAAAGCTCACTTGAAGCCTCAGGGGAGCAGGCACAAGGCACAGATGGTGGCAAGCAGCACAAGTGCTGGCTGGAGGACTTGGGAGGAACAGGGGGTGGTTGTGCAGCCAGCAGCTGGAGAAAAACGACGTTTTGAAGGGCTGCTTCTCTCCAGCCATTTACTGCATAGCTGCCCCCTGCTCCTCCAGAATCTGACCCACACTTGCACCACCCCATGCCTCCCGGTGAACACGGGCTGGTGCAGCTGACGAGGGAGCATTGGGCGGGGGGAGCCAATGCAGAGCCTGTTGGGGGGAGGGGTGGTGGCCAGGAGATACTCAGAAGTCCCCTTCAGACTCCACCTACCGTCTCATCCTCCTATAATTAAACTTGCTTTTCCTCAGGCACTGGCATTTAAGGTTAAATAAAAAACTATTGCTACAATTTTTCATTGCAAATAGACAGTATTTCAGCTATATTATGGGTTAGATAGGCTTTTGTGGGCTAAACTGGGACCCTAACTACCATTTATAACATTGTTTCTATGGGGAAATGTATTTCGAATCCCAAACAACTGATTTACTAATGAACTTTTTGATTAGAACCAGTTTGTATGTTGGGGACTTCCTGTATGTTTTCTAGAGAAGTCTTGGGGAGTGGCCAAATCTGTTATTTGGAGACAAAGGGTAATCCGATGCTTCAACCAGGTGTAAACAAGGCTAATGGACCATTTTCTTGATTTTCTTTGACAGGAAAAGAGGTGGGAGGGGGGAAGGGAGGCTACATGTTAGGCTTTGTCAGATCAGCAAGTTTTGTCAAGGAAAAGTGCCTTCGTCTAGTTTCTTATCCACCACAAATCAGACAGATCATAGCAGAGGGGAAGGAGAGTAGGAAGTGCAATACAGATAATGATCAAGCATTTCCAAGAGCCTCTAGTTACAAGCAAGTATCTTCTTCTTCTTTGAGTGATGGTCCCTACTGTATTCCACTGAGGAGGGTGATTAGCAAGCAGTACCTAAGTTAGAAGAGCGTGCAAAGATGAAGATGCAAAGGTCATGCAAAGAACTGCAACACTGAAGGAGACACCAGCTGCTGCTGAGTCTTGTGCTAAGGCATAGTGCTTTGCAAAGGTGTATACAGAACTCCACGTGGCTACTCTACACCTGTCCAGGAGCGACACGGCTTGGAGGGAGGCCGTGGTTGAAGCTTGGGCCTATGATCTTTGGAAGAGGAAGGCCTACTAGTCAATAGCAAAGTTTAATGCAGCCTGAAATCCATTTACAGATTCTCTGGGTGCGGATGGCCTGTCTCCCAATCTTACTGCTACTGCTACAAACAGTCTGGGTGACTTTCTGATGGGTCTTGTTCCCTGTAGGTACAAGGCTAAGGCTCACTGGAGTCAGTGTTCCTCTACAGATGCATGTAGTTTTGGGAAGGAGACACGTAATTGAATGTATTGATGTGAAACTTGGGCGATTACCTTTGGTAAGAATTTGGGAGGCAGGCACAGGGAAACTTCGTCTTGGTGGAAAATTGTGAAAGGCAGGTCTGTCGTAGCTCTGAGTTCACCAACTTTTCTCACGCAAGTGACAATAGCAGAGAAAATGACTTTCAAAGAAAGGAGGGACATAGTGCATGATACCAACAGTTCTAAGAGTGGTTAGCATGAATAGAACTAGGTTCAGGTCTCATTGGGAAGCAATTTGTTAGATGGATAGGAAGGTTCTAGTGATGCCCTTCCAAAATCTAGCAGTTAGTGTGTAAAGACAGAGTGACCTTCCATGGGTGGGCAGTGGGAGGGGCAGGGGGGTGGAGGAGGAGAAATGTGCTAGTTGCCACCAGATAAGGCATGCAGAGAAATGATGAGCTCTGATGCTTTCACAGACAAAAGGTAAACCAGGAGGAGAAGGATCTAATTCTGGGTAAACTCCCTTTTGTTGGGCTAGGAAGTGAAGCATTGCCATTTGGCCTGGTAACTGTCTAGTGGATTCTTTCCTGCTGCTGGAGAAGAGGAGGGGTTGCCAGATACTTTCACAAAAAATCCCGAACATTGCGGAGAAAAAAAATTGGTTAGGCCACAAATAGGCGAGAACAGGACACCTGGCAATCCTAAGAAGAGGTCTTGTACAGCTGAAGAATAAGTCTATCTAAATACTATGGTCTGAACTGGAGCTGGATTGGGATGTCTTATGTCACAGTTGCACAGTCAGCAGATCAAGGAAGGTGGTGATAGGAATTGGTGCACATGTCATCATACAAAGGAGACTGGAAAACCAGAATTGTCTGGGCCAGCAGAGGGTGATCTGCCTGAGCATTGTTCTGTCTCATCAGATCCTGTGCAACACTGGAAACAGGAGTAATAGAAGAGGGAAAGCACAGTTGATTTGGTCTGAGCAGGAAAGAAGGATATGTTGTTTTGAGAGTGATAGCTGAAATTTTCCCTGGAGCAGTATGGGATGCATTTGCTGTTTATAGGGGAGGTCTTTAGTTGAAATCCCCCTTCAGATGAAGATGTCATGAACTACTGAATTGAGTTCCCATTTATGGTTGGCACAAAATGTCTGCTGGGTGGAAGATAGGTTGCGGATAAGATAAAATCCAGTGAGTGATGCAGCAATTCCAGATATTGACTGCTTCTGTGCATAAAACATTCAATCTTGTGCCCATTTGTGAATGAGTGAAGGGGAGAAAGGATCAACACATTTTCCTTACAGTTTGAAGTTCCAGGATATTGATGTGCATCCCACATTCTCAAGGAGACCATGTTCCGGGTGCCACATAATCATCCAGATATCAAAGGGGTAGCCATGTTAGTTTGTATCTGCAAAAACAAGGAGTCCTGTGGCACCTTAAAGACTAACAGATTTATTTGGGCATAACCTTTCATGGGCAAAAAAACTCTTTGTCAGATGCATGGAGTGGAAATTATGGAGGCAGGCAAAAATATACTAGCGCATGAAAAGATGGGAGTTACCTTATAACAGGCGTGGGGAACCTCAGGCCTGAGGGATGGAAGGACTACAGCACACAGAATCTACAAGCCTGGGACCCCTACACTCTGCTGTGTGAGGGGGAATATGGGGAGTGTCTCTCTGCTCCTCAGTTGGGGGCCACATCAATGAGGATTGTTTGTTTTTTCTTTTTTTGCTTCTCACTTTGTGGCTCCCGACTGATTTTTCTGTGGGTCAGCAGCCAAAAAAGGTTCCCCACCCTTGCCTTATAAAATGGAGGACCAGTGCTAACAAGGCCATTTCAGTCAGGGTGGATGTGGCCCACTCCCAATAACTGATGAGGAGTTGTAATTACAAAGAGAGGAAAAAATATCAGAGAGGTGTAACTGTGTTTGTTTTTGTGGATACAGACCATGGAGGAGCATAGGTTTTCAGGGGCAAAAATTCACTTTGTCAGATGCATCATGTGCAAGTATATTTCTGCCTGCCTCTGTAATTCTCCCTCCATGCATCTGATGGTCAGGATCAGACTCCTAGTTTGCAAGGCATGCATCTATTTCTCCCCCTCTATG